CCCCGAAAATGGGTGGTTCTCTCCGTGCCCGACGCGGGGGCGCGGGCTCCATGCGGCCTCGACGCAGATCTGGCGCGGAGCCCACGCGGATTCGACGCTCGGTCGACTCGGATCCGACGAGGCCGACATGGACCTTGCACGGATTCGACGCGGATGGGGCCGCGACGGGACAGCCAAGGTCTCCCCGAGGATGCAGCAGGAGGAAGGCGGAGGGCCCGACGCACTGGGCCGCGCCGGGGCAGCCCAGGCTGCCGAGCGGAAGACCCGTGGCAAGAAGGCGAGGCAAGATAGGAGCTTGCCCCCGGCGCGCGCGCGCGAGCCTGCCCTGGGGTTAGGTCGGGCATGTCCCTCTGCAGGAGGAGTTTCCAAGAACAGTCAAGCAGCAGTCAGTTGAGGATTCGTCGTGCTCTTTTCTGCCTATGGTTGAATCTTTGTCGTGATCATGTTTTACTTGTCATCCCAAAGTCCGCCTGTAGGAGGACTTGCCCGACCGAGCACCAGGGAACTCCACAGCCTCCAGCGTGCACGGTCGGTCCGAGGTACGAGGTCGAGGCCGGCTCGGGGAGGGGATCCCCCTGTTCTTCGGGTTTGTTGGGCGTTCTTGTGCATCCTTGGGGAGGGCACCCTCAGTGCTCTCCACGGCGGAGGGTCTCATGTTCTTGAGGGACGTTATTCTGTCCTGGGTCCAGTTGTACTCTCTCTCAGGGGGCGCGGGGAGGCTTCGGCCTTTGGAGGCTTGTCTTTGGCGCCCCCATTCCCGGCGGCTAGCAAGGGCGGCAGTGAGACGGAGAAGGCCTTCTCAGAAGGCGGCGCGGCTTCTCAGAAGGCCAGGGGCCTTCTGAGATTTTTGTTCTGTTTTTTGCCTTCGGGGACGGCTCCGAAAACTTCTCAGAACGCCAGGGCTATCCCCAGCCTTGTGAGCAGGCCCGACCCTTCTCACATCCCCCCCGGAGCCCGCCGCCGGGTGCTCTCTCTTCCGGGGGAGCGGGGAGGCTTCGGGCCTTTTCGGAGGCTCGCATCGGGCGCCCCCACTCAGGCGATCGCAGCAGAGGGTCAGGGGAGCGTGGATTGGCCACGGGCCCCGTTTCCGAGGGGAAATCGCGGATTTCCGCCGCCGAGCGAGGCGATGTTGGCCTCCTTTTCTGGGAGGGCACCTGCACCTCCCCCGAGCCATGGGTTTGGCGGCCGCGCGCCAAATCCATGGATCGCGAATCCATGTTTGCGCGCCCCCGAGTCTCGGGGGCCCCCACTCTCCCCGACTCCTGGCCTGCCTGGCTCCCCCCTCCTAGCTTGGGCGGTGCCGCCCAGCGCGCGCCAGTCATGGGCGAAGCTCTCGAGGGTTAAGGCGCGCGCCTGTCAGCCCCGATGGCTCGCCACCGTGACGCGCTGTGTATCTCATGTCCTCTGCGATCCGCTTCTCCTCGGCACTGGCGGCCCTCCATCCTCCTCTGTCCTCCTCCTCCTCTTCCTCCTCCTCCTCCTCTCCTCCCCCTCTTCTCCTCCTCCTCCTCCTCCTCCTCCTCCTCCTCCTCCTCCTCCTCCTCCTCCTCCTCCTCCTCCGCTTCCTCTCCTCTCCTCCTCCTCCTCCTCCCTCCTCCCTCCTCCTCCTTCCTCCTCCTCCTCCTCTCCTCTCCTCCTCTCCTCCTCCTCTTGCTCCTCCTCGTCCTCCTCCTCCTCTTCTCCTGTTCTCGTCCTCTTCCTCCTCCCCTTCCTCCTCCTCTTCCTCTCCTCCTCCTCCTCTTCCACTCCTCCATCTTCCCCTTATCCTTGCTTCCTCCTCCGCTTTCCTCCACAGCCATCGGTTCTGTGCTCTTGGCCTCGGCAGCCGTCCGCGGCGTGCTAGGATCAAGGAGGGCCGCACCGACTTCAAGGAGAAGCTCCTGGATAAGCGAAAGGCCTGCATCGCGCCCGCTCCGCCCTCCTCCCGTAGCGTCGGGCTCATCGTGGCACCACGCGCGACCCTCGGGGGCCTCCTATCTTGAGCTGTCGCTGCCAGGGGCGTCGCTGCGTTTGCTCGCACTGGACGGGTGTTTCTCGCAGAAGCAGGCTCTCTTGCCTTCTCGTCCAAGCCTCAGCATCGTCTACCCGATCCCCTCTCCACTTGGGCCATTGCATTTCGGCACCGCCAGGTCGCCCGCCTGGGTGGGATGGGCCCCGCGAGTCCCGAGGGAAGCAGCAAAAGTGTCCACACCCAGGGGATCAAGTCGGCCAGTGGGGCCATGGTCGTGCCGGTGAAGATATGGATCGATCAAGCGATACTCACGGCCATCGTCACTTTCTTCTTTGAGGCCAGGAGGGGGAGGAGGAGGAGCAGGAGGATGAGGAGGAGCAGGAGGATGAGCAGCAGCAGGAGGAGGAGGAGGAGGAGGAGGAGGAAGAGAGGAGGAGGAGGAAGAAAGGAGGAGGCGTTGGAGGAGGAGGAGGTGGAGGAGGAGGAGGAGGAGGAGGAGGCGATGCCGGCCAGGACCGTGCGAGCGTGGCGGCCGCGCGCCGTTCGTCCGTGCCGTCCTCGCAGCGGGCGGGGTCCGACCTCAACTGCGCTCGGACGGGCGCCATTCCAGGGCAGCGTCAGCGGGGAGGCTGGGCCCAGGGGGGGGGGACGCATCGAGCCCCCAATCGCCCATCCGTCGCCGACGAGGGAACCGATAGCCCAACCCTCCCAGGAATGTTGCGGCTTCGCTTCCTGGGGCCTATCGCCCACCTGCTGGCGATGTATCGCCGATTCCAGCTCGATGTCCCCCGCCTGAGCCAGTTCCCCCCCTGAAGTTTTCTCTCGCCATTGCGCCTCTCCTTCCCGCCCTGGTTCCTTCCTCCCTCCGTTCCCCTGGACTTCAGAACTGGCGCCGAGATGTCTCGTTCGATAGTAGATCACGGCAGCCTCGTATACCCTCGTAAGCCCGTCTTCAGAGTGCATCCGCGTCTATTCGCGTATGGCAATCGGTGAGACAGCGCCGATTTAGCACTGATTCGCGTCGACGAGATGCGTCTCCGCGTCGGCTCGGCGTTGATTGGTATCGATTGGCGCCGATCCGCAAGAGCCAGCAAGATGGGACCGGAGATTCCCATGGAGCTGCCGCGGAGGGCTCGAGCGGGTCCGCCCCGGCGTTCCCCCCCCACGCCGTCCCTGCCGCCCCCGACGCCGGTCCGCTCCGCGCCCTCCCGCCCGCAGCGGCCCCTCTCCGTGCGCTTCTGCGCCGCTGGTCCAGGGTCGGGAAGAGCAGGCTGGGCGTGGTGGAAGCGGACTGGTGGGAGCGTGCAGACAGGAGGACGCAGGATGTCAGAGCCCCGAATCATCAGGGGTAACTCGGGTCAGGGATAACTCGGGTGCCTGTTTCGGGAATCCGAGCCCGACTTACCCCGGACCCGAGTTACCCCGGATAATTCGGGCGTCCAGAGCCCCAAATCATCAGGGATAACTCGGGACAGGGCTAACTCGGGTTCCTTTTTCGGGAATCCAAACCCGAGTTACCCCGGACCCGAGTTACCCCGGATAACTCGGGCGCCCAAGGATGGCAGCGATGACGGTACCAGCGACAGCGATACCAGCGACAGCCACAACAGCGATCACGACAACGATCACGACAGCGATAGCGACGCCGACAACGATCATTTTGAGACTGTTCGCTCTTACTGGCACGCGTGTTTGGCATTCTGTATACCCAAACCCTCGATTCCCGCCCACTTCGTCTTCGATCGCACCCCTTTCGGGGGGAGTGTTTTCCTTGTCGGCTATTGACTGCAGTGCAAGGAACTCTCGAGCGAGAGCGCCGTTCCTGAGTTCGGGGGCCTCTCTGGCCAGGCCAGGGGATCTCGGAATACATATTGAGAAATATCGAGCGGGAACCCTTGTCGCCGTGTCTGGGCCTCCACCAACTTGCCTGGATTAAGAAACAATCTCGAGCGATAGCGCTACTCTTGAGTTCGGGGGCCTCTCTGGCAGGGGCCTCTGCGAATACATCTTGAGAAAGTATCGAACGACAGCCCTTGTCGTCGTAGTTGGGCTTCCACCAACTTGACTGAATTGCGAGGAAGTCTCGAGCGACAGCGCCGTTCCTGAGTTCGGGGGCCTCCCTGGCCAGGGACCCTCGGAGTAAATCGTGCAGAAGTATCGAGCAGGAACCCTTGTAGTCGTGGCTGGGCCTTCGCCAATTTGATTGATTTGCGAGGAAGTCTCGAGCGAGAGCGCCATTCCTGAGTTCGGGGGCCTCTCAGGCCATTGTGTCTCGCGGGGTAAATTGTGACGAAGTATGGAGCGGGAGCCGTTGTCGTCGTAGCCGGGCCTCCAAGGGCCCACTTTTACACTCAAGCCAACGCTAGCGCGGGAGCCTCGTTCTCATAGAACATGTAGCCAGCGTCGAGGCGAGAGCGCGCAGAACCGTTTCCGGAGATCAGCAATATTTATCTCGCAAAAGTATTCGACAACGAATTGGTGGAAGATGCACACAACAAAGTTGATGCAGGATGGTAGCGATGACGATCGGCGGCGAAATCCCGACCCTGCCCTCGCCGATCGACGATTCAGGCGGTTCGATGGGCGACGGGGGCAGGGTTCGGAATTTAACATGTGGCAAAAGTCGGAACCTACCCCCGCCTCCCATCGATTCAGAAGAACCGATGTTGGGTGGGGGCAGGCTTCGGATGCCGCTACCTAGACGATAACAGCGACAACGATAGCAACAAACATCAACAGCAACGCTAACAACGACAACAACAACAGCAACAACAGCAACAACAATAATGACAGCGGATCGTTGCTATCGTTGTCTGAGCAAGTGTCAGTGTGGTGAGGCTATCGGTGTCTGGGCAAGAGTCAGTGTGGTGAGGAATATTTGTCAACATTTTGCCGCGTGGTGTGGATTATTTGTCAACATTTTGCCGCGCCTTGCCACGGAGCACTGGCCGAGTGCGCTGCGTTCTGACCGCCGCGATGGACCGTCCAGTGAATTTCTGCCGTGCGCGTCCGCCGCTGGGCTGCGGCGAGGTTCTGTGGTTGGTGGTTGGGTGTTGAGGAGAGGTTTTGGTTCAGCCTCCCCCCCAAAAAAACAGGACACAGGGTCGTGTGCGGGCTCCTCAGGAGCGAAAGAAGGACGTACATGTACATGAATCCACGCTAGTTTCGAGAATACGCATTGCCCGAAAGTTCGTATGACGCGGCCGGTCTCGCAGATCGAGGGGCCGTGTTCATGTACATAGTTGGGTGCGTACGTCCTTGGTGGGCTCCCTAGCTCCAGGGGAGGTGGACTTGACCCTCACCCCCTTCTGCGCGAAGGAGGGGTGGGTCGAGCGGTGGAGCCCCTTTTCCCACCCTCGCGCGAGGGGGGTGGGTGTGGGAGCTCCACCCCCCTTTTCGGGGGAGGTTCTGGTGAGGGGAGGGGGGGGGGCTACACCTTAGGCGATGCTTAAGAAAACATAAGTTTTCGGCCAGAGTCTCGATTATTCTTATCGTTTCAATGTAAATCTTAAGATTTTAATAGAAGTGTTGGATTGTTACTCAAGTTCTGAGACTATGAATTTCTTAACCCATGATTTCTTAAGCATTTCGCAGGGTGTAGGTCCTGTGTGAGGTGGGGGGGTGTCCAGTTCGCTGGGTGCTTGGGGTGTTGGGGGTGTTTTGGGGGGAGTGTTGTTCGACGTGTCGAGGCATGCTTCGCACCCGACGCCAGTGAAACGTGCTCTCTCACAGTACGGGATCGTGTCCACCTGCTTAGGGTTGGTGTGCGGGCACAGTGGCAGTGTGTGTGTGTGTGCATGTGTGTGCATGTGTGTGCGTGTGTGTGCGTGTGCGTGTGCGTGTGCGTGTGCGTGTGGGCGTGTGGGCGTGTGGGCGTGTGGGCGTGTGGGCGTGTGGGCGTGTGTGGGCGTGTGTGGGCGTGTGTGGGCGTGTGTGGGCGTGTGTGG